TTTTCCACAAAAGTGTGTTCTTTATTTTTTTCTCACTTTCCATATTTCATCTTTGTTGTTAGGTACCTCACCATAGCCATCTTTGCAGCTGTCCAAGCAGCCGTAAGATATTATTTTTCCATTTGAACCATCCATTTTTTTAAAATTTTATATTCTAAGCTTTCCAATTGGGATTTGAATATGTATCTAATGAAAAATATATCAAACTTTTTTCCTTTAGGGTGTCACAATTTTAACAATTTCCACCATAATCCCTTCCCTCCGGCCGCCGAGATGCACGGCGGAGTCACCACCGCATTGCGCACCGGCCACCGAGTTTCAGCTGACGATCCTCTACATCGCGCTTTACACGACCGCCCTTGGAACCGGTGGCCTGAAATCGAGCGTCTCTGGCTTCGGTTCCGATCAGTTTGATGAATCAAACAGAAACGAGAGGGCCCAAATGACCAACTTCTTCAACTGGTTCTTCTTCTTTATAAGCATTGGCTCGCTTGCCGCTGTGACGATTCTCGTCTACATTCAAGACAACATGGGGAGGCAATGGGGCTACGGCATCTGTGCCTGTGCCATTGTCGCTGGTTTGGTCGTGTTCGTCTCTGGCACCCGACGATATCGGTTCAAGAAGCTGGTCGGTAGCCCGTTGACGCAGATCGCCACCGTGTTCGTCACTGCTTGGAGGAAACGGAGGTTGGATTTACCGTCCGATTCGTCGTTTTTGTTCGATATTGATGACTTTGGAGACCAAGGACATGGGAAGAACAAGAAGCAGAAGCTTCCTCGTTCCAAACAATTCAGGTTACTCCCTTCTCTTCCTCATGTCCATTTAATATTAAAAAAAATATGACATAAAATTTTCAGAACTTATTTATTTTGGTCCTTTTGAGAGTAGAAGACTAAAACGAATGAAAATTAAAAATCCAATAACCAAAATAGCATTTAAATTTTTTCTTTTGTTTTATTTTTAGTATAATGTTTTCTGAATCTCTCTGTACTTATAGAAATGTTATATATGATTTTAAAACCATAATATATATTCTTTATTTCTAATCCACGTGAGATTTTGGTAACACCATTCATTATAACCTATTCCATAATATTGTAAGTTCATGAAACTAAAAGATATTTTTCAAATTGAAGGGATCGTTTTTTTTAATCAAAAAAGGCAAAATAATTGACAGTGCAATGGATCCTTCACATCAATACAATATGTTATTGTATACATTTTGTGTCAAGGCCCACATGAATTACTTCTATATTCTATAGTTCTAAGGCCCACATGAATTACTTCTATATTCTATAGTTCTATCAATATGAATAGGGATATTTTATTCTTACTTAAAATTAAGATCTATCTTTTTCTTTATTGATGTGTGATATTTTGATTATAAAATTTGATGATTAAAATTAGGTTTAAGGGAAAATAAGACAAGTAATTGCAGGAAGAAATGATATATATAGAGTAAGTCTTTAAATGTCAACGTCGATATCAATAGATAATTATAGAAAATTTGTAAAAATAAATATTTCGTAATAAATGTCTAAATAAAAAATAAACATTTTACTCTTTTTAAATAAGTTAAAATTTATTAATATTAATATTATGTCTCTATGATATTTTGACAATTTTTACAATACTATGAAAACAGTGTCATTCTCCGTATATGGTCTTAGAACTTTGCGGAGACCTGTATTTTTGGCAAACAGTGGTCCAAACTCTTGGTCACTGCGACCCTCTTTTTGAGGAGGCAATCCTTCCCCCAAAGTTATGGAGCTATTTTGTCGAGTTTTTTAGAGAGTTGTCTCGATCCATCTCTCAACTCGATTGAAGTCTATAGAAATATGAAAATGTCGACGTGTCAAAAAATTTAATACTTGGTGCAAAGGGAACAAGAGGGCTTATCCCTTTGATGGACATGATTGGTGGAGAATAGTGCAGTGATAGGTTTTGAATAATAATATTGAAAGTTCTTTTTGAAATTATATGATCAAAATGATTGTTACAAGTCATTTTCTCCTTGGAGAAAAAACCATGCCATGCATATTGTGTTGTCTGTCCTGAAAATGATAAACAGTGAATCAAAACCCTCTTGTTTTGGGAGTCTCCCCCACTTCATTTATTTTGACAATGTTGTTTTTGGTTCTTTTTTAAATTTTAAAATGTTAAATAAATTTATTTGTAGGGGCAAATATAAAACATTTTAAAATCTATCATTTGACCTAGTTTGTGTGATTTCAATTATTGGCTTAAAATAAATAAAATATGTGTTTATGCTAGATTTTTATTAAATAATTTATAAAAAAAATGAATGGTAAGAACTAAAATAGTTTTCATGCAAATTTTGGAAAGTTTAGGAGGAAAGTAAAATTTCTCAACCTTGTTTTCAATAGAGAAATGCTAAAGAAATTAAATTTCATATTTTTCCTTTATTGAAAACTTTAGGGAGAAATTGTAGAAGAGTTAAGTTGGAAAAATGAGTGTGGGATGTGAAGTATATGGATTGGACCCACAAAATATCAATCAATAATGGAAGGATAATTTATCCCATCACATTCAATCAATTAATTACTATAAATAATACTTTGAGTGATAATTAAGTTAAATTAAATTTTCAACATAAGAATGGTTTGTGATGATTCTTAGCAAAGAATCAATCGGTCAATAAAAGAAAATGAAGAACATTTCACACCGACCAATTTAAGCTAAGTTTTAATATCATAAAATTGAACTCTAAATTTAAAACAGCAAATACTTAATTCCTTTATTGATTTTTTTTTAAAATTATATATAGCTAGTGATCAACATCTTATTAATTATACTAGACTATTTTTATGGATATTATTTTCTCACCATGTTGATATCTTTTAGTTGAGTTTGGATATATATTTGGGTGTTACCTGCTTGATTATATAGCTTGGATTTAAGTTTTTTTTTCTTTTAATAATATCATTTGTTTTGACTTGATTTTTTGGTGAATTAGTTAGTGTCTGTAGGTAATTTCTAGCTTAATTTCACTACTCATTTGTGTTTAGAGTTTCATTTGAATTTTTTTTACAATAAATTGAAGTTGAGGATTCGAACCTTCGACCTCAAGTAAATGAGTAAGTGTCAATTACTGTTGAGCTATGCTCGAGGCGACATCCTAAACTAGTTCATTGTCAAAGATGAGACTCATTTACAATAATAACTTACTCGCTGATGCTATCTCAATCAACAAAGTCTAGTTGATTTGAAAGTTTTCGAGGAAGATTCAAACTTCCCCAACTCCCACTTGTATCTAATTAACTTAACTTGCCCAATGTATTTTTCTTTCTTCCAATGAGATTTTAGGAAAAAAAAAAAACAAACAAACATAAAACACAGCAAAAGCATGGAGATAGATCTAAACTCGATTGTCAAAAACTAGTGGTAAAAAAAATGGTCAATAATAATAATTTCATAGAAGAATTCAAAAAATGTCACGAGATGGGGTCGGTTGGACAGTCTGTCTCTTCCAAGTCAGTACTCGTGTTGTTTGTTGTCTCTTTAGCTGAGAAAATCGCAGTTTCAACCTTCCCCAGTTAACCCTTTTCTTCAGCCCTCTCCATTTCCCAATCTTTTCTTCCTCATTCTTTAATGAGATCTCTTTTTGTGTTAAAAGATTCCATGTCGAAAAGGTAAACGACCTAATAAAAATTTATAACACATATAGGCTATTCTTTGCACGGCAAATTGGTTTTGAGATGGAATCCAAAAATATTGATACGGTAAAAGAGCCTAAAAAAAGTTCAAACAAGCATCCGATTCAAAAATGGAATCCAACCATGATTGATGAGCTAAAAGAGTCAGAATCTTGAGGAATATGTTAAGGATTCCACATTAAAAAATCGAGAGATCCAATAAAAGATTATAATAGCCATGATCCATTCCTGTCATGGTCATTCGGTTTTTATATGAAACTCATGAATATTAATAGTTTGGAATCAGAGAATTAGACAATCGACTTTCAAAACAATAATAGGTATCTTATCCATTGAGTCATGTTCGATTTGAATCATTTTAATCAGATTTTAGATTTCTTCTTTTAAATATACATTTTCAAAACTACTATATGATTATCTATGACCATTTATATGGTTGTATGTGACTATTTCTTTTTTTTTTTGTCGGTATTGATTCTTTCTTTTTGATCATGTTGTGGTTGTGCCCACAAAAGTAACCATGGGAGTAATTGACATAAGAAATTGGGATTTATTTTCTTCTTCTGGTTTCCACTAAATTATTATTAATGTACATCAAAACAGCTCTCCAATGCACTAATTAGGTTAATCATTGCTTGCTTTTTTTCCATCGACACTGATTGAGAATATTCCTTTCATGTTACATATCTATAATTAGAACTTTGTTTCATCTCTACTAATCTTTAAGAGACACAAAGTCCAAAAATATTTTTATATTGGCACTAATTTGTTCCTCCCTGTTACTGATCAATAAATTTTGTGTAATGGGGGACATACTTTTCTCTATTGCAAAGGTTCCTATTGGATTCTTTAGATCCTTAATTAGTGTGAATCAACTTGTGTAGGTATCTCTAATATTTAATGTGTTAATATAGTTATTAATCTCTCATAGGTTAAGCTTTTACTGGACGAGTTAGTTTTGTACTAACTTTTTTCCGTGTCGAGAGAAACATTGTTGGTATTGATAAAAATTCTTGTAGTCTAGTGTGGTATCTTCTCAAAATATACATCTTTTATACAATATTGTATTGAAAGGATATGATTTCAAAAGTAAAACGTGTTTTTTAGGGTATAATATTGCTTAGTCTAGAACTTAACCCTAATAGCAGAAGTATAGCTCTGCCAACGTTTTGGCAATGTACTCTCCTGACGTACTTTTGCCAATGTTTTTATCCACAAATCTTTATCGTTTGGATAAATCACTCCCAATGTTTCGGGGTCTTTTCCCGTCATTTAAAACGTTGGGAAAAATTCAAATTGTGTGAACCTCCTCCCCAAATAACACTCACAAATGTAATCCTTCTTTTGTTTTTACAGATTTTTGGACAAAGCAGCTATCAAAGAAGGAGAAAAAGGGGCTGCTATTACAATGATGAACAAGTGGAACATATCAACCCTAACTGATGTTGAAGAAGTGAAAATGGTGATAAGAATGCTTCCCATTTGGGCCACAAACATCATGTTCTGGACAGTCTACGCCCAAATGACCACCTTCTCCGTCTCCCAAGCCACCACCATGGACCGCCGCATCGGAAAATCGTTCCAAATCCCCGCCGCCTCCCTCACCGTCTTCTTTGTAGGCAGCATTCTCTTAACCGTCCCCATTTACGACCGTCTCATCGTCCCCGTTGCCCGAAAGCTGCTCAAAAACCCTCAAGGCCTCACCCCACTACAACGAATCGGCGTCGGCTTAGTTCTCTCGATCCTTGCAATGGTGGCCGCAGCTCTCACTGAGCTGAAGCGCCTCGACGTTGCAAGTTCCAACGGCCTGGCCAACATTAACGACCCGACCACTGAGGTTCCCTTGAACGTCTTCTGGTTGATCCCACAATTTTTCCTGGTCGGGTCGGGCGAGGCCTTTACATACATAGGGCAACTTGACTTCTTCTTGAGGGAGTGCCCTAAAGGAATGAAGACAATGAGCACAGGGCTCTTTCTAAGCACACTATCTTTAGGGTTCTTTGTGAGCTCTTTCTTGGTGACAATTGTGCACAAAATAACTGGAGACAAGCCATGGCTAGCTGACAATCTCAACAAGGGGAAGCTTTACAATTTCTATTGGCTTTTGGCAATTTTGAGTGCTTTGAATTTGGGGGTTTATTTGCTTTGTGCAAAATGGTATGTGTACAAAGAGAAGAGGTTTGCTGAGGAAGGGATTGAGTTGGAAGAATCAGAGATGGTTTGTCATGCCTAAAAGGAGTGGTTTATGGCTTTTTACTTTTTAGTATTATACATCATATGTCAATGTCATATCTCTCCTTTTGCTTTTGAGGGGCATAAAAGTTTAGTTTGTAATCTCTTTGCATAAATTGAAAAGGGAATAGAAAAGGGCAAAAAGAAAAAAAACAAACTTTCAAACTTTTGGGGGTGGTTTGACTAAATTGTCAAATCAATGATTATGGTGAATCAATGAAAAGCATAAGAAATAATTAGCTCAATGATTGACTCAACTCCTTTATATATGTTTTCCTTTTGTCTTTGGTTATTGTTGTATTTTCGTTTATATTTATTATACGACTTAGATTTGTATAAGATATTTTTCTTTCGAGATAATTTTATGTCTAGATGAGATGTGTGTTGTTCTTTTCCGCTCTTTCATATGGTTTGGATCAAGAAGTAATTTTTAAATTATAAATTATTTGTATGATTGAAATGCCAGATATAATAGACCTCCCATCTAATTATGCGATATATTTTAAAATATTGGTTTGGTTTGGATTGTCTTAATAATGTAATTTATGTGCAAGATTTATTTTAAATATATAGTGAGATACTAGTAATCCGACTATTTTTAAATACTTTTCTGAATACAATAAATTTAAATTAGTTTTATCCAAAAAACAATTGAAATTAGTATTCTGATCGTATCCTTTTTCTAAAACATGATTTGATTACTCTTTTTATACACTTTATTGAAGAGTAAAAAGTTAAAAAGAGCCAGTGAAACAAAACAAATATAGTTAATAAATATAGTTTTTTCTAGTACAGTTAGTAAATATAGTTAGTTGTTTTCTCAAAATAATAATAATAATAATAAATAAATAAATATAGTTAGTAAATCCAAACTAATGTCTCATGAACCAGATTAACCTATATATGTTTAACTGATTCCAGAAAATTTCTGTAAATCAAGTTTAATCATGAAAAATTAAGCAATAATAAGAAAATTCTTTTAAAAAAATATTTAATGAAGAAATAGTTTTAAAAATAAAAAAATAAATAGGAAAAATTCCTGGTGGGAAATCTGATTCCCACGAATTCCCCGCTCTGGTTCTCATGAAATTACGTGGAGATGGGAAATTAAATAGGAGGTGAGGATGCAGACGAGATAAATGAGATTTCCATGATGGAAATAAAATGTTACAATTGTTGAAAATTTTGCATCCGTCTCATTTTGATTGATTTGATTCCTATTGATTTTCATTCGGATTCATTCTCATCCCGATCCTTGATAGGTAAAGAGGGCCTAAGTTTGTAACTCCCCACAATTTAAATATTTTGGATTTATGATTAAAAAAATTATCATTTATAGCTGCACACGCCACAATATTATTATGAACCGACAAATTTATACTTACTTTACAAATTTTAATTTTTTTTCTTTTGTTGAAATTTATTTGTAAAATTTCATTGGTATAATTTTTTCAAACCCACAAAAACGGTGTACTCATTGTTCATTAACAAATATTATTTAATTAAAATGACAATTGTGGATCATTTCATCTAATCCACCCCAAATTTCCCAAAGTCTTTAGTAAATGATCTCTCTCCTCAGTTGTTCAACTACCTCAGTAATTTTTAAAGGAATCTTTTTTTTTTTTTTAACATTCTACTACCCAATCTNTAATTATAGTGGGATAATCATGGAGATCCATGTGGCACCCCTAGCTTGCCACAAGCTTTAAAGGGGAGCCAATTAGCTCTTTAATTTTAAATGAGGCTAGTCTCAAGGATAAACCAACTACCATTCAACCCAAAGCTTAAGCTGATGGGTCGGGTAAATTTAATTCATTTATTGGATATCTAATACTTCCCCTCACTTGTGGACTTGGAAAATTACATCAAGACTCAACGAGTGGAAATCATAATAAATGGGGAGAAAATTACCACGCAGGGGTTCGAACAACACTTTGATATCATCTTAAGGATGAACAAACGATCATTCAACTCAAAAACTTAAACAGATGGATTGGGTAAATTTAATTCATTTATTGGATATCTAATAGCTAGAAGTTGGAACGTAAAAAAAAAAAAAAGTTCTGAATACATAAGCAAATGATCTCTAATATTAGTGGCTGTACAAGGTCATAAGAAAATGATCTCTATTTTTTGGGCTCCAATCTCAGAAGATCAAGCAAAGTGGTTAATTCGTCCTTTCAATTGATGTTGAAATTTCGAAAAGCGAACGGTTTTACCATTGAATTTTTCAAAAGATTTTGAACATCTTCAAGTCAAGGAGGGACCTTCTAAAAGACTGCCTTCTCATTTTCTTTCTCCATCTCTTCTCTTGTTTTCAGTTTTCTCTTTTCTAATAATTTTAGGTTTGTATTTTCGTTTGATTCTTCGGATTCAAATGGGAATTGAGATACAACTCTAATCTCAGATAATTTTTCTAATTTAGATTTGTTGAAATTGAATGGATAACACTACAACAAATTCAAGTTTTCACACGAAATTTTAATTTCGTCGGGTAAAACTATGTATGGCGACGAAAATTATTTAGTCAGCAAATCACGACGAAACAGTCTTCGTGGGGCCTAAATCATTCCCGAGGAAACGTGAAGTGCGCTTTCAAGGTCCCGATGTTTTTCATATTTCTGTCGGGGAAGGCGCTCTCTTGACAATTTTTTCCCAATGTTTTTTCCAACGGGAAAAAAACACTAGGAAAGCTTTTCTCGACATTTTTTTAGGTTTTCCCAACGTTTTTTAGCGGGAAAAACCTCAATTCTAGTAGTGTAAATATCGAGCTTGAATCTCATCTAAGATTCATGTAAACTCACCGAAATTCATACCGCAAACCACAATCGTGGGTGCCACCGCGATTTTTCAAAGAATGATTGATTCTGTCAAAATTCTTGCTCACGTTAACGGTCGAGGCGCGATAGAAATTTTCAAAATACGAAGAACCTAGAGCAAGTTGGCACGGGAATTGCGATCTGGAAAAATTCTCGGTCTGACCATGGCCGAGATCGTGACCGAGAATTTCGACAGAATCAATATCTAGTAAAAAACCTTGAGGAAGTTTGAACGGGAATTGCATTCTGCCATAACTCTCGACCACGATTAAGGTCGTGGTTTGACCGAGAATTTGGACAAAATCATGCTTTCTTTACTCTTCTTTTCTTATTTTCATCTGTTCCTTCTTGTGTTTGGCTTGCTTAATACTAAGTTTGTATATATCAATATTGTATCTCAGGTTTATAAAATGGAAATGGTACCTAAGATTCCTCCCTCTAGTTATCGTTCTGCCAATTTGACATGTGTGGGAGCACGGTCAAAGCTATTAAGAGTAAACTAACCCGTAGGTAACTTAGTATGGTTAGGAAAACCATTTTTGGCCATTGCTAGACGTAGAGCTCGTACTTAACGGGCCACTTATACACAACATATTGCTTGGGGAGTTGGAGGATAGTAGATGAGACGTAATTACTATGGACGTGCTTGGTAATAAGGTATCCTTTGGGTTGAGGGAATTTAATCTAATTACGGGCCTAAAATATAGTAGGCGGCCAATTCGTAAGGACACTTCTCCCAACAGGCTTAGGAAGTTGTACTTCGATGACAAAATCGACATTTTACTAAGTGAGTTCGAGACGAAGTACATGGAGATGCGGTTTGAGGATTACCTAGACGCGGTCAAGGTATCAATGTTACTGTTTGTGGAGCTTGTGTTGTTTGGGAGGGAGAGGACTCTAAAGCTGGACACTAGCCGGTTAGGAATTGTGGATGACCTAGACAGAAGAAGCAATAAGAACCAAACATCCACGGCTGAGGGAACCTACATCCACGGTCGAGAACCAAACAATAACGAACCACGATCGTGAGACGAAGAAAGGGTATCTGTATAGAACCACGGTCGAGGGAACCTACAACCATGGCCGAGAATCAAACAAATACAGACCACGACCATGAGACGAAGGAGGTATCTGTATACACCACGACCGAGGGAACCTACAACCACGACCGATAATCAAATAAAAATGGATCACGGCCGTGAGACGAAGAAACACGACCATGAGACGAAGAAACACGACCGAGTTCCATTTACTTAATGGACTTTTGACCAACAAAAATATGCATAAAAGTTCAGATACTACATTCACTTTGGACTCCAACTATATACATCATATCTCGAACCAATCGAAAACAATATTCTGAACAAATCAAAAACTAACCTCGTTCAAGATGTCAAAGATGAACAAATGTCTTTCTTTAAGGTGTTGAAGATATCAAAAATGTTGGAAAAAGTATGGAAGTTCTTGAAAAAAAAATGTGAAAGATGTGCATGAGACAATAAGGACTGAAACAAATTTTTATTCTCTACAATCAGTACGAATGTGTGGGTATATATTAAATGATAGTACAAAAATTTGGTGGGGAATTAATAAGTTGGTGGTAGTTTAATTAATTCATGGTCGTGTAACAATTAGAACTCGCCCGGGGTTTTAATTACAGCAACCTACGTGATTCGAACTATTTCCGTGCAAGTGCAAGATTGGTGGTAGTTTTATTAATTCAAGGCTATATTCGTCATTACATCCTCTCTGAAATGTCAGAAAAGTTATAATTGAGTCAGAAAAGTTAATTTTTCTCACTGAGATCATTGGAACAAATGAGAAAACTTATTTAAGTCACATCTGCCAATTCCCCAAACCAAAGGTCATGGTGGAGAGATCCTTTTACTGTAGAAGATTTGACACATAATAGATCGATATGAACATCATAACCTATTTCTTGATTCTTCTCATTCTTCGAGTTATCACTCTCGCTCCTCTTTTTTCTAGCTCTCGTTTCTCGAGTTATATTCATTTCCTCTCCAATCTCAAGTCATTTACTAAATTAAAACCCAACATCCAAAGCCACAAAAGGCATTGAAATGAATGTATTCTTTAGATGTCGAGACAACTCGTAACCACCCTGTTTGGAACGACTTTCAAATAAGTGGATTCAATATGACTTGTGAGATCATGAGAAGTACTTTTTAGCCAACTAAAATCACTTTTTATAATCTCCATAATATTTGATTACCACAGTACAATTAGTTTTTAACCCTGTAATCAAACATCGCTACAAAAGTTGAAAAGTACTTTTCAATGGTTAAAAACCTTCACCATTTGAAAAAATCATACTAAAACCGTCATTGTATCTTAATCTAATCGTCTTAAAATGTTGCTCCTTGTAGCATAAATTTCACTCAGCTACAGAAATTTCATTTAAACGTAGCTCATTGCAGCTGCAAAATAATCATATATATAGAGAGAATATATATAGAATATGTGTATATTTAGCTGAACAAAAGAGCTTACATAATGGATCGAGAACAAAAAGTACATTTTCCCCCTTATCAAAACATAATCAGAATGCTAAACAATCGCAGAAGAAAGAAGCAAGATGGAGAAGAGAGAGAGAGAGATGAGGTAGGAAATGGGGCATAAGATTTTGACCTAACCCACTGTATAGCTGAAGGAAGAATTCTTCTTTACCTAAGTGCTCAAAGAATCACCAGTTCTTATTAACCTTTGAGTAGAAGTATACTGAAAAGAATAAGTTGAAGAAGGCCAGGCAATCCACTCGTTCTTGTCGCTGATTCGGAACGACATTTTCGAGCTACTCCTAGTCCTGCTCCTGCATTATCTGTCAAATTTGAACACAGTCAATTCCAACACCATGTTAAACTGGATGATGCAGCAAATTTAGAACGACGAAAAGCAGATCATGGAAATTGGGAAAGCCATCCATCCTAAAAGTAACAAAAATTTTTTTAAAAGACTCCATTCAAAGAGCTTTTATATTTCTAACGTCAAAAGAATTTCTCTAATACAAACCTAGTTATTAATTCATAACTTTACAGGACTTCTTTCACTTCGAATCTCAAATAATTTGAATTATTTGATTCTGAGTGAGTACGTAAAGATTTTAGGTTATTTCTTCCGAGAAGAAAAGACTCAGTAATCCTAGAACACTAGTTGACAGATTAGTAAACCTAATTAACCTAAGTTACAACTTTACTAAATTAGTTAACTAGTTATCTATCTATTTACTTCCTCTGCCAATGAATCATGAGGAATATAGAGAGAGAAAGAAAGTAGTATTATACAACCTTTTCCAAATTATCAAATTATTTACTTCCTATTCTAAAATTTGTGTATGAGGTGTGGTTATAGAGAATGTCCAATAGTACCCTTGGTCAAGTTTATCTCACAACATTACTACGTCCATAATCTTATTTATACACCTAAATCTTCTAGCTCGTAAAAGAGTAAATAATTAGACATTTTTCTAACCTGTAAAATGTTGGCACAACATATTATAATAAGCAGCAGCTACATAATAAGATAATATTTGACCATTAATATTCACTCATTCCACTAAATTTAGGTGTCCTAGTACCTTTGGGAATACTGTAATCTAGAGAGAAGTGAAAGCCATTTATTCTGCTTTGATGTTTAGCTTTCTCTATAAGTAACTTTTGGTATATTGAACGAAATAAACTTTGAGAAATATGAATATCTATTCTCTAGCTCAAATTCTTGGTGTCCATGCAGCAGATGGCAAGGTATTGAGATTCAGCGGGATGCATATGCAATGCGAACTCACCTGACTAAAATCATGATCCCAGTTCACCGATCATGCCCTCGTTCAATTCGTCAAATATATCTGGGCAACCATCCCAGTTTCCGTCCTCTCGTGTTTCCCAGTAGCCACCCGTGTATCTGAATGGTCCATCTTCACCCTCTCTTCGGAACCATCTGGGTTTCCAACCATTTTCTTGCAACTTCCTGGACTGTATAGAGAGAGAGAGATAATGAGTGATAGAAGAAATTAGCCAAAAAGAAAGGGAAAGATGGATGTAGCATAGCAATCACAGTAATAGCCCAAGAATCATATCCAGAAGGGATAAGGAGCTAGTCTAGAGGCTTATAAATCTATCCCATTAAGACTACAAGCACATTTTCATGATTCAAATTAGTCAATATATCCATGTTCAAACTAGAATTATAATTATGCGTAAAGCAGGAATCAGATTTTATATATATATATATGGCATTAAAGACCTTAGCTCAACTTCAATCATCAGAAGATCTCTTCAAAACCACAATCTCCAGATCCTAAAACAGAGTTATTTTTTCGGGGTCAGGGGAGGGGGAAGGGTGGGCGTGGCTTCCTGAACTTACAATTCGTTGTCGTCCCTCCAAGCGTTGTTTCTCTGCATTTGCCTTTTCATATTCGCCATTTTCCAAATGCCGCTGGTCTGGTCTAAGTCTGGAATCCGTGGGTGGAAGCCTTTCCTTAATCCGTGATCAAACACCAAGGATCAGATAAGATTAAAAACGACGAGTAAATGCATTCAACATGAATGAATAGGCATGTATGAAATACTGAGTTAACAAATTTATGAAATACTGAGTTAACAAATTGTATGTACCTTCAGGTCCAATGTCAATTCATTAAGAGTGATGGCAAATAAAGTTAAATTGTAACGAGTGAGATTGGCCGGAGGCTTTTCGCTTTTCCACAGCACTGAGGCATCACTTGAAGGACAATTGCGCTTCAGGTTTCCATTGCTCTCACCTTCAACGTAATACATGCCTTCATCCCACTTGCCAAATAATGTGGCAACCTTTCGACCATTAGCATCTTGAATAAATCCATGAACCTAGTGGATTCAGATAAATTGGAAAAAGAAATAAGGTTAGAAACAAAAATACATGCATAAATAGATATATGTAGTGAACGAGAGAATCCAATTTGAAAACACATTGAAACAGTACAATGTTGATCAACATTTTGCAAACAAATTGAAGGGGAATGACCACTTCGAATAATAAAATTAATTGTAATATTGGTCAACATTATGCAAACATATCACTAACCTGGTGAGGATTTCGATCCAGAATTGATGGCTCTTTGAACTTAAGTGTGCAAGAATATTCTCTATTACCACGTATGTGCATTGTACCGTGGTGATCACAATATACTTTTCCAAGAATGAGATTATAAATATTTGTTGTAACCTGGAAGGCATAAGTATGATTTAAAACATCATTCATGCAAAAGTCGGAAATAAATACAGAAAGAGGAAGCACTTCTGCCTGCGGTTGTCATCAGAATACCAATCAGCATCCAATCTCACCTTGCTCCACTGGAATATTTCTCCATCGTCGAATTCCAGGTTAAGGACTCCAACAGGGTCAAGTTGAATTGAACGACCCCAAAATTTTGATCGGAGGTTGCTGTCACCCCAGTATTTCCATCCTCTACCTTCACAGTGGCATGCAATGACGGTTGGGTGGTGACTGACCTGAAGTTAAAACATCATTAAAAAATTTGAGCAATAAATCAGTAAGTCCATGATAAGAAAGATACGCTTGAGTTAACTGATAGGGTACAATTAAGTGCACTTCAATGGAAAAGGAACTCATAGCCACATGCAATGATCATAGAGAATTAGTTCCTATTATCATTTTTGTTGTAATAACCTTTTTTTTTCCTTTCAATTTTAAGCTATACATCAATTAATTACTCGATCAAATGCTTTACAACCATCCTACAGAGCAAAGTGAAACTCAAAGAATTGTAACCTCAGCCATATCCATTTAGCTGGTTGACTTCAACCACGTGTGCAAATGCAAGAACATACACAGACAGGTACACATGTATTGTATTGCATACAGATTTTGAAACTCATAGACACAAGTTACTACATTCTGGCGCCTCCTATTCTATGCAGAACCTATTCTGCATTTTTTTCCCTAATTCAGAAAGAGAGAAAAATAATATGCCTCTTTTGCTGTAAAGAGGTAGTATTTATTATTATTAATGAATCTTGTTGTTCGTATCAAACTATTGTAATTTTATTCTTTTTCCAAAAATATCAGATTACTATAGTTGCTCTGTGATTGAAACTACTCATTTTCTTAATTTATATAGAGTAATAATATTTAGACCTATGAGGCGAAATATTCCATGTAAAGAGTAATAATATGTAGACCAGAACATAATTCCATTATTAATTTAGAATAAAATAAATAATAATATTACTTGTTCACAGTTATAATGTATGGTGTTGTACACATTCCTTTATACTGACCTTCTCAGAGAAGAATCGAATCCCTTTATCGGGAAAGTCAGCTTCATAAGTTTCTCCTAGCAAAGGGTTGAATGGTTTACAATGTCGTCCTTCAGAGGAGGCATAACCAGAAACAGCAAACGCAGCAACCTTGAGGATCCTGAGGAAATTGTTTCCCTGGTAATAAATTCCAGGATTAGGCAGCAAAATGGCAGGACATCTCATTTTCACTTTTGATACAACTCAGCACGGATGATGAAGTAATAGCAATAGCAAACCAAATATAAATATAAAATTAATCTCAATATCACTTTTGGGATTAATTTTATATTTATATTTGGTTTGCTATTACAAAGTTATTGGGCACGTACAAGTAGCAAGTAGAGAGAGATATGCATATTTTCTCACCTGTCTTCCATATTCATATGCTTGGTCTAAAAGATGAGAATATTCGAGGTCCTCGCAACATTTCTGAAGGGATGATATGGGCTCATTGAAATAAACTGGTAGACACACTCTTGTAAGATCCTTTCCAACATTGTCTTTGATAATAGACCAAAGACTGATTTTCTTCTCTTTCTCGATGGGATCTGGAAGGTTTTTTCTTCTCTGAACATTAGAATGAACAGAAATTTCACTTCTCTGTTTGTGGAGCATCTTCTCTAAAGCATCCTGTTGACATTCAAGGTTCTTAATCTTATCTAATGAATCTGAAGGTCCGTTTACAGACCCACAGGTAAGAGTGAGGTCTGTAAAAAATTCTTTAGTGTCGTAAAAGAAACTTTCATCAACATCTGATCCATCCTCAATATCTTGTTTTTCAACATCATCTGAAGACTCGGTAGTAGTACATTCTGTAAAATTAAAAGACCAACATTTTCTTAATAATAGAAACCGGTTGAGAATAAGAATTAATGCTACCAAAGCCATGAATGACTGAATGTTATAGAAAAAAATTCACGGAATGAGTTCCCTGTACCAACTGAATGATACTTTGTGCACCCAAAACCATTCCAGTTTGTTAATTTCTATGAAGACAGGAAAAATTGAGGCTAACATACCACTAGAATCAACTGCTTATTTAAATTTAAAAAAAATGTATTTCACGTATTTTAAACTAGTTAAAAATTATTATTATTAATATTTTCTTGATATTCTTTTATATTTAATCGATTTCTTTATAATACTATGAAAAAATCAATTCACATTTATGTCAACGTTGAAATCTAGCACAACCACATACACTAAACATGATGTTGGGTATACTAGCAGTTAAATAAAGTAAATAGCTGACTATACCACCATAAGTCTTAACATCCACACATTTACCTTTTTGGCTTTTTTATTCTTGTCAAGCTTAGCGTAGGTGAATATTTAGAATAAATAACAGTCATCTGTTTTTAAGAATTATAAAATTTTTTAAAATGGAAAAAGGAAAAAGAAATAAATGAACAAAAGATTAGAACACAACACCATTTACTGATTAATCTTTTTATGAAATATTGATTACCTAGCCAATCAAAAATATAAATTAGACCTTTAAAAAATCTCAATTAACAAATTCAAATTTCCTTTTTCCAACTCACACAACGAAGTTAGCAATGGATGCTCAAGATGTTGAAAATGTAAGATGCAACCAAAAAGCTTGATATGTAGAGCTTTTTTGCATAAATATACATCATATATAACTTTTCCATTTGATATAATGACAAAATAATAAACAATAAATCAGAATAGTTCATATAACAATCTTACCACTAAATTTTCCACTGCACTCGGTGGAAAAATCATGTTTCATCAACTGGTACTCACCATTGTGAATTCCATTAGCTTCAATTTCTATATTAGCTGCCTGCAAATCGAATTGTGAAACGCTTAAGATGAATATTAACTACACTAGTCGAATATTAAAGAACTTGAAAACAAATATTTTGAATGAAAACGATCTCACTAGAAAAAGTGAAAGAAAAGTTTAGGATAACTGTTTAGACACGACAAAGAAAAATGATTGTCAATCACTTTTGACAATAAATAATAGTAACTGTAGTTTTGAATCATTGCAAATCAGAAGATGAATATAATGCCAGATTAAAAATAATAAATAAATGAGACGGAAAAAAAACAAACAAACAGTCATGTCCTCCAAGGCTTCAACCAATTATGATAACATGAAGTACTAGAAAAATGGTTACTCCAGTTTATCCTTGAGCCGATTTACAGAGTTCATAATTGTCATAAATTCAACAATTTGCAAATAGACATCTGCACGTGAAATCACATCCATTGGATATAGCATTAGTCTAGAAGCATGTTGACCCCACAGGAACTTGAGTAATCACGAATATATTTTTCTAAATGAGCTTTGACCATAATAGATTTCTTATTAGAAGCTACTCAAAAACCCAATCCCAAACCCAGCAAGAGAATTGGTTAAAATAAACAAGTTCATGTCTAAGAAGTTCAAACAGCAGCTACTTGGGAGAAAATCTTACAGAATAATGTACAGATAGAAGTGTGGAGCAGGAGCATAGAGAAGTTAGAAATTCCCCGAGTTAAAAGGAGAGGTATTGCATCCCATGAGTGAAAACTAATGGTGACACTTAATGATATATTTAGCAAGTAGAAAGCAGTAATCCTCCAAGCTTTAGACGTTAACCCAGGAGATCCAATTACAAATTTGCGGCACCTATTATTTGAAACTAAAATAAAACCATAGCTCCTAAAGTTCTTCAATTTTTACAGAGATAGCAATTTTTCAATAAAAAATGACCAAGAAGTTACCTCCAACTCCCTTAAGGTATCAATTAAACAAGATCTTTCTTCCAAAAGAACTTTCAGCTGTGCTTGCATTTCTGAGAACTCGGAGAGAATGATTTGTTCGCAGTCCTTAACAACTGCCTCACCGATTCCCTCTTGAAGTAAACGCTTCTTGAGTTTCTGAGTGGAAACGGATAAATCATTTGGTACAAAGGGAAGATTATCATTCACAACTCTCAACGGAAATAGGCTTCTGGAAGAGGCTAAAGCTTGAATCCAGGTCACCCGGTCTTTCTTTGATTCGGTTCTCAGATGAAGTGTCTTCGTGGCAGTGAATATATAAAAGCGCCGCTCATCGGACTTGCTTTCGCGGAACGATGAAACCTGCGAATTAGAATACAAAATATTCGATGACATCAATTAACAAAAAGGTTGAATTTTGGCACTATGCAATTATTTTAATAACATCCAAAAAGATTTTTTTGACTAAAACTAAGCATTATCATTACGTAACCTCTTTTTCAGAATGATGTCAAAGTAGAAGCACTAATAACAACATATTGAACAGACATAGATAGCATTAAAACAGCTTACTCATGGAAGAAAGTTGAAACACACCCTTCCAATTCAAAAACCATAAAAAGGCCCCAAGGATTTCTTTCATCGTTAAAACACAAACCAAATACCGCTCCTTGAATGCTTCTCATGACAATGGATATAACCAAAAACCGACTCCATCACCCCAATCTCTGCAACTCCGCAGAATCCTAAGGAACCCTTAATCAAGTAGCAAGAATCCAGATCTAACCAAGATAGATCTCTCTCTTTTCCTCTCGTTATTTTTCTCTAATTCTCTCTCATCCGCTTATACAGTGAAGAAAAAAATCCTGTTTTTAGAAATGGAGGATAGACGTGTCCCACCAACGTTTCCAGTCCCCACCTGTTTTCGTTTCTAGCCAGAAGCCAAAGACTTTTTTATTTTCTTTTTAAAGCTAAGCTCAAAATAACAGTGAAAAGAAAAGAAAAAATAAAAAATGAGGCAGAAATGCCATTGGAAGTGGAACCCGTACAAGCCAAACAAAACAATCCAAAATAAAGAATTTGTTTCCCAAAACAACTACGTCACCCATATTTCCTAAAATAATATTTTACCTACCGTCAGATCTTTACGCTCAAGGTTTTCTCCATACCCAAAATTAAAAAATAAGAAAAACCCATATTTCCCTGATGGTAGAAACTCAACCCCATCAAGATTTCAAAAGAAAATCGCAATTAGGCAAAAAAAAAAAAAAAGTTTCAACCCTCTCCATAAAATCTATAACATTAACGCTCTATTTGGCTAACCATAAAATTAAACACCCATGAATAGAAATATCGGAATTTCATGAGAAGAAACTGGAGCGAACAGGAAATGGGAAGGAAAACGAAGGACCAAGAAGACGGAATAGAAGATGGGGTTCATCATATGAGAGAAATTATTGGGAGAAAATTTGAAAAAGATATCAATTGGAAGCAGGATAATGCAGATGGATCACTCAGTGACCAGAGGGTAATAGCAAGAAAATGGTCACAGATAGGGCTTTTTACTGAACAGTCTAATAACACCTGCTGATGTGACCTACTCAAAATCCACAACCAGTTAAAAACTGTGAACCAGGCGAAATTGAGATCAGAAACCCCATCAGACAAATTAGCGATTAATGCTAGAAACGTCTGGTTGTTTCAGCTCAGATTTCGAAAAAAATTTTAAAAAAAAAACAAGGGCAAATTCAAATTCAGACCACAATAACAAAATTCATCGGAGAGAAACAAAATTTTCATATCCAAATCCTTGCACTGTATCAGATCGCACGAAATAATCTCTGTAAACCCCTTCCCCTTCCCCGGAACCAATAATTTACCTTCAGATGCACGATTCCCGCAGTTTTCTGTCCCTTCCGCCTCCCGCTCGCGCTATCGATCCTCAATAGGCGATTCGTCGAAATCTGTCCGATCAATCGGACGTCTTCATTAGGGCTTAGAAGGGTGAGATTCTCCGGGCGGCTGATTTTGGAGTACGAGAGCACGCCGTCTCGCAAAACGAACCATCTGGATCTCCAGCCCTTGCCGTAATTAGTCCATTTGTAGAGAACACCGGTCACACTGGGTACGGATCCGGTGGAAAATGCCGGTAAGTTCACCGGCAAACTCCTGCTCCTCGACAACGACGCCGCCTCCTCCTCCGCCGCCGGCGACCTGTGCCCAATACCACTCCCGCCGACCCCGAAATTTTCCAGGGAGATGCAGCAGAGAGGGTGCATCTCCTTGACCCGCATTTGCGTCGTCTTCTTCTTCTCGCAATTACAGAAACATTATGCTGTGTTATCACTCCTAAAAAGACAACAACAACAAAAACAACAAAAGAAAAAAAAGGGGGGGTTGTCAGAAACTGGAAGTGAGGTGGAGATGTAAGAATGTAAGCGGCAAAATGCAGTTTGAAAGTGATGAACAGAGAGGGAGATGGTGGCGCTGCCATGGACGGACCTGTGCAGAGCTCTGAAACTGAGGGAGAGGAAATAAAGAAGTGAAACTCTAGTATTTGCTTACGAAGGCAAGGTATTAAAATAAGTCTGCAAATTTGTTTTTTATTTTTTTTATTTTTTGCTTTTTTTTATTTTTTTTTTTGGGTTTTGAAAGGAGATGAAGGAGGAGATGGTGGGAGTGGTGGTAGAACTTCAACTGATTAAGATGGTGGTAGAATTGTAATTTTACTTGATGACTTCTTTGTTTCTTGGAGTGGGCTCTACCTAATTTTTTCTTTTTATTTAAATATTATTTCCGCTTCTTGACTTCCTGACTTTTGTTTATCTTGATTTTTTGTATTTTCAAAACGCTTATTTTTGCAAAACTAGTGAAATTTGAAGACACCAACTTAGTAACTAATCACATATTAGTGAGCTCTCTTAATAATTACAGGATTTAATATTACAAGTGTTGATTTAATACTGGATATGAATATTGACACATCAAGACGTACATAATATATTAATTTATATTTATTGGATTCAGTTTCTCCTATTGAATTAAACTGTGTTATTTGTATTGTCTTCTATTGATTTGTTATATTAGTAAGGGAATTAATAACACTGATATATTTGATTATGAGTGATAATATATCAATGATATATAACTTATATATTTGTCTTGATTTGATATATCATTGATGTATTTGAGATCCGTAAGAAATTCTATTTAGTTTATTATACTTTCAAAACATCTATTTTGATATTTGTAATTTTAAAAAATTAATTTTTTTTCTTATATGTGTGAGTGTGTGGACCATCTTGTGTGCACCTCAACTAATTTTACAGGGGTAGGTGGCCGCCCTGGGATTTGATTAAAAAAATTTATTATTTAGGGTTTAGAATTAATTTCTAATGTAATTTAGTCATCATGAAATTTAATTAAAAATGGATTATTTTGGTTACTTTGGTTTTCTTTTTTAATATCGTTTTTTAAATCATACACCACAATACTACACTTAATAAATATTTCATTTCTTGAAATATTATTATAGCTTTATGTTAAAGAGTTTTAGAATTTTACCAATAAGAAGAAAAAGTGTCACTTTTTATAATTACAAGGATAAAAACAAATGTTTTAAAAGTAGAGGAATCAAAAATGAATGTTTTGAAATTAGTATTCGAATCAAAACAATAAAAGTTGAAAATACAAAAACCAAAAATTAGAATTTTAATTCTACAAATTATACAAATTAAATCATCATGTATTATATATTAATTTGATTCATAAAACCTATCCTGTGAAAACTATTTTATTTTATCGGGGAGAAAATATTTGACTTCTAGACCTTCTGCTCTAATACCATGTAATATATCACTGGTCTAAAAACTTAAGATTCAGATATATTTAATCTTTTTAATATATTCTCAATTGATTTGAAAATTTTTTTAAATATTTACACTCTCCTTCCTCCCCTTTCTATCCTCCCCTACGATTAGAAAGGAACAATATTTCCCCTTTTATTACCTATAAATTTGAGTTCTCTTCTTTCTTTCTTTATTTTTGTTGGATAATTAGGTGTTAGGATAACGGATTTTGTTAAAAAATTTCTATTATCCCTTACTTATTTATCCATAATTTTTTCTTTTATCTAATTAATGTGGAACTTTTACCGTATTTTTAGTCGAAATGAAAAAAAAAAGTCTTATAATTTTTTATTTATTGAAAGAACAATAATCAAAGGGATGAAATGACCTTTTTTAATCAGAAGATTAATAATTCTTTTTTGTTTTTCTCTCTTTCAGTTTTCTTTCATTTCTTGTACAAGCCATTTTCCTTTCATTTGGTTGTCCACAGATTGTATCAATCATGAAGTGATAAGAAAAAGAAATGATAAATCAAGTTGAAATTTCACTTGTAGTTGTTAAGAGAGTTTGACTGTAAGAATAAATAACACAATTTAAATAGTCTTTTTTTCCTTCTCGGTAGAGTTAATTATTACTTTTAATCAGTTGAGTTCTATTTCGGTTGGCATAAATAGTCTTTTAAGTTGAGATTTCATTAGCATAATATGATTATTATTGAGTAAATCTAAGACGACACGTGTTCAAGATCCAATCAAGCATGTGGATCGAGTTAATGAGAATCGGGCCAAGACCATCACATTGATTTAAGGGGTCAAGTATACGTTGGCAATCATACAAGAGATAGTCAGTGCCCAAGGCACTAACGCCTTGTGTTCGAACTGCGATATGCTCTAGAGAATCACTTAGGAGCTGTCACGCTCTACTTTTATAGTGCACGGAGGGATAGAGAATGTTGGGGTATCCTACGACCCCCTGACGTGACACTTCACCCTCTGTTTCTATCCACACTCTCTCAACATTCCTATCCCTCCACATATAATTAGAGGAAAAATCTAATCAAGATAAGTTGAAATTCCCTACACAACTCATTTTGAGAATTCGACACACGCTCACTACCAAAGCAGCTCTCACTCTATGATTACTGTTCTTTTACTCTACTTGCTCAAAACCCGTTTGCTCCCACCTTAGTTCTAACTAGGATCAGAGTGCACTCCCCAGAACATCACACTGATGTTAGATTTCTGTGCATAGGTAATCTGAAACTAAGAAACAAAGACATACGTGTACTCCCATAATTTGGCTTGATATAATATTAAATTATACTTTGTTAACTTACTTCAAATTATCTAATGATTTAATTCAATAAATTGTACACATTCACTCATAAACAATACTAAAAATTTTTTTTTTATTAAGAAAATATCACTTTTTAAGTTTCCACATTTTCGGTTTGTAAGAACTTGATCAAGAAGGAAGAATTTTATACATGAAGTATAAAAATTGTACATAAAACTAAAAACGGCTAAATATGTCCTTGTATCCCTAAAAGTTTAACACAAATTTAAAATTTTGTCTATAATATTAAAAGTTTCAATTTTCTCGTACTAAAAAAAGTTTACATTTTGACGGTACCAGTATTTTTTCTAGTGACATTGAGTGATAAATTTTGGCCAATCATAAATTGTCACATATTCTTTCTATGGTCCATTGATCATACAAGCTAACCTGATCAAATTGAATCATATGGTTGAATCATAAAATTTGTTCAATTATCAAGTATCACGTCATTATTTTAAATAAATGACAAAATTATATTTGAGACGAATTACAAATTTACATGTGTCTTCCAAATTAAATTGCAAAGACATAAAATTGACGTATCAAATAACACCATGTGTCTTTCTTATAGTCATGATCATATTGGCTAATTAGATCCGTTGATGCAAATATTGGGCTTAAACACACGTAAGGCCATAAAAAGAATGCTCACCCACTGAGACTCTATAAATAGATGAGGTCATTTATGATTTGTGGGATTCACATTCAGAGCCAAGCATTCAGAACCAGAGTCATCATAGTATTCTAAGACTTCGCAAAGCATTTAAGATTTAAAACTCAAAAGAACCAAAGACTTGAAGACTTTGAAGACTCGAAAAATCGAAAACTACAAGACTTAAAGAACTGTCTCTTCACAAGCTGCAAGTCGAGAACTTCATCAACCTATAAGTCCAAGAGCTTCAACAAGTCAAAGAACTTCATCAAGCTATAAAGCCTAAGAACTTCTTCAACAAGTCAAACAACTTCATCAAGCTACAAGCAAAAAAAAACTCCAATAAGCCGAAGAACTTTGTTAAGCTACAACCTGGAGACTTCATCTAGCTATAAGTTGAAGACCTCAAAGATCTTCGATAAGTTCAAAGTCGAAGACCTCAAAGATCATTCAACAAGCTAGTAGGTGGAGGCGTCAATCTTCTTGATACGAGGACAGATTCATTAGCCCTTAAATCAAGTTTACACCTGAGAGAAAACATTAGAGAATTACATATTAAATATAGTAATACTTATACGTAACTACAAATCAAGTTCATTAAATTCGAATTTCTCGTAAAAAAAATTCATCGCAAACACATATAATATATAATAGAGCTCATATCAAATAAGCACAAAATGGTCATTGGGACCCAAATCCAATTAGCCTTAGAGTCATTATAGTGGATTAATAACTGATTATGATCAAATTTGAATGAGTCTGAAACCAATAGGTAGGATTGGATCTATGACGCAAATGGGATCCAAAGTCAAAGGCTTGGGTTCAAAGTCATTTTAAATCTGGCCCCTCTAAAGTTCATTGAAGAATATTGTGCCTATGTGATAAAGAATCCTAGTAGAACTGATTATAGAACCCTTGATAAAATTCACTAAAACCTAAAGTTTAAGTTGTATCAATCTAAGGAATGACTTGAACGAATTACATTGATGATCAATATCAATTGTCGAAAAAACTTGTTTCTAAACTCAATATTCAAATCACTCCACAAGTTAGTTTGATCAAGGCTACTTGAATGATTCTGCATGTAAAACACAAGAAATGCAAATGAGAAGTTCATGGCTCAATAGCTCAAATTTCATTACATCTTAATTCTCAAATATGTGCTTAAAGACAATGGAAAGGTTGTAACTCCCTAGTACGTTAATACCAGAACATCCACTAATTCAATAGTAACCTAAAATTAACAAATGAAGGTTAAAAACTGAAAATATAATAAAACGAGCTTTAAATCTGAGAATGAGGTACTTTGGTCCGCCTTCAAGGTTTTTGTAATCTTCCATGAGTAAATAATATCCTAGTTAAAATAGCTTGAAGTTTAGTTCCATTAAAGGATACTTGACTTACCTTAGATGAAGCTTAAGATGCATTTAAGTTCAATCGATGCAACTTGAGTTCCTTTAATCCAACTTGAGTTCAACTTTAATGCAATTGGACTTCCTTGAATGTAACTCGATTTAACTTGTTCATCGTAAATGAAGTATGAGTGCACTTAATGTAACTCCAATTTGTTGCTAACTTGGATGTAGGATAAATCTCCAACATCTTCCTTTGAATCCTTGTGGCATGAGTAAGACACTTTGGTTCATATCATTGTGACCCAAATACAGCTAAAGTCCCAAAGTACTTTGGTTCAAAACCACACCAACCTAGACCCACTAAAGCTTATAGTGGAAAAGCCACAAGCTTTAAAAAA